CACACAGGCAGACAGTCACGCACACACACAGGCAGACAGTCACACACACACACACAGTCACATACTCACAGACAGACCCAGTCACACACTCACAGACAGTCACACACAGACAGTCACACACAGACAGTCACACATTCACACAGACACACTGACCTGCTTCTTCCCTCCTGCTTGGAGCTCCTGGAGGCTGGTTGTTGGGGAAGCAGGGACTCCTTCCTGCTTCCCATGCTGCAGTCAGCCAGGCCCCCGCCGCACAGTAAGCCCCGCCACCGCTGCAATTTTTATTTTTATTTTTTTTAAATCCCGGCCAACCATGTGTGAGCTGTGCCGGCCGCCTGGCTCCCCCTGCTCCCATGGGGCTCTGTGCGGCCGCACAGCTCACACATGGCCGCCGGGATCACAGGAGCTGTCAGACTGGCCCCAGGTGCCGCGGCCCACCAGGAAATTTCCCAGTATCCCGGTGGGCCAGTCCGGCCCTGAGTGTCCCTATGTCTCCCAGTGTTCCAATGTCTCAATGTCCCCAAGTCTCTCACTGTCCCCATGTCTCACAGTTTCCCCTAGTGTATCAGGGTCCCCAGGTCTCCAAGTGCCCCCTAGTGTATCAGTGTCACCAAGTGTCCCTATGTCTCCCAGTGTCCCCAAGTGTATCACTGTCCCCATCTCTCTCCCAGGTCTCCCAGTGCCCCCTAGTGTCTCAGTGTTCCCAAGTGTCTCAGTGCCCCCTAGTGTCTCAGTGTCCCCATGTCTCATAGTGTCCCCTAGTGTTTACCAGTGTCCCCTGGTGTCAGTGTCCCCATTTCTCCCTGCAGACTTTCCCCCATCCCTCACTTACCTGAGCTTTGGCTGTATCTGCAGGCTCGGAGCTGCTGTCTGGACTCTCTGTGCAGAGATGCTCCCCCGCGGATCAATGAGTAGAGAGAGGCAGGGAGGGAGATGCTGTAACTTCTTATACCTGCCTCTCACCAAACAAACAGCGACCCCTATTGGCCGGCACTGGTATTGCAGGATAATCTCTGTTTCTACTGAGATTGACATTTGTATTGCCGGTATTACTGCAATACCGGCACCGGCTAGGCAGCATTAAACACCTGAGAAATACCCGGCAACCATAAGAAATATCTGAGAAATACCTGGCAACCCTAAGAGTAGTGTGTAAAAAAAAATACAAAAAACATTTTTAAATTTTTTTTTTTTTTTTAAATCAATGGGCCTATTCCATGAGCTTGGGCCTGGAGCTGCAGCTCCATCAGCCCCTATGTTAATACGGCCCTGTATGTACCGGTTGCATGCAGACAATTTCCATCGTCCCACTCTTTTGATTATGTGTACTGGTACGTTTTGGCTCGAGGCAGCTGTTGCTGCCCCTATTCGAAATGAATGGCCCGTGAAGGCTGCTGGATCGCACCCTATTTTTAAAATATATTCTAACATATACCACGAATTTTGATGTTAGTGGGTTACCGTGTAAGCTCAGTAGGGGAGCGGTTTTGTCCTGACCTTTGCGGTCGGATGCAAGTGGTTGAGCATCTGAACTGGGCACCATTTGTTACCTGTGGGGAATAGTTGTATGTCGACAGGCGGTCCCATTTGATTTGTTTTGGATTGGTGTAGTGTCAATACGTAGTGGTCTCCTACTTTGTTTCGGTCTGCTATTTTGAGCATGTTGGTAGAATTGTTTGTTTTTTCTACTGTAAATTCGTTAGGCTGTAAAAACCCGTAGAAGGCCAAAAATATAGCGGTTTTGATAGCATTGTTTGTTTCTGTTTCGAAGGGCTTTGTGTCCAATACATTGGATAAAGCTCTGAATTTTTTACCGTCTGTTGGTTGTCAGTTTATGGACCTTCTAATGGTAGAATGCCTTTTAAAATGTTCTTTATTGGGTTTGATGACATGAAGGTACTCTGGCTGGGGTATATGTTTATGACGTGGTTTTGTGTGTCTGTTAGAGTAGGAATTGTATTAAATCCTGTGAAGGGTGAGTGTTAAGGTAAAAAGCCAACGTTCCGACCTGAACTTCAGGCATTTCCTGAGGAAGAGGCGGTTTGGGCACATGGTCTTAGCGTGGGCTCGGTAACAGATAGAGCAGACATGCAACATCCTGCAGGCGCTGAAACTGCAGCCTCCTGCATTGAAGTTGTTGCATATTTGTGCCTTGCTTAAAAACATGATAGGTCTCCCAAGCTTGTCTTTTAACCCTTTCTGTTTGGCCATACTAGTGCTAGGGGTGATGAAGCTAGTGGTGGGTAAACTAAGCTCATTGGAGCACAAAGTGTTAGAGTGAGTTTGAAGAGCAAATTGTACAAGCCGGTGGTACTAGCCCGGCAAAGTGGCGACAGAATAATTCAGTGTCCATGTGACTCCAATCTATCCTGATGTCAAACTGCACAAAGTTTGCTGCTGCCTTGGCTGAAAATGATGTGTTAATCGTAAAAAATGATTCCACCATACTAGTTTCCCAGATCTACCAACTTGTGCATGTACAAGTCCAGTTCCTCTCTACGTTGGGGAAAGTTGAAGCATATTACGTCTCTATATAACCCGAAGGCTAGTACAAAGTCTGGTATGGACAACTTCTTACTTAGCCTAGGATCTTTGGCTTTGATGGGCACTAATATTCAAACTCTCCTTTTACCTATCTCAAACCTCACCTGTCCTAGCTCTGCAACATACTTCTACAAGTCGACCCTCTCCTCTCAACTAGACATGGCACCTCCTACTTTTAAAACGCAGCAAGCGCCCCCAACAATAACCTTGGCACACCAAGCTGACTCAATACCTCCAAAAATGCTCCAGAACTGCTGAATGCTTTTAGAGAAAGTCTCACTATGTATCTGACTTTCTCCACTATAAATTTATGCTCCGCTCATACAGCTTGGCTCTTTCCTCTGCAAAAGTAAATTACTTCAATACCCTCATAACCACACTCTCCCGCGAACCTAAACGACTATTTCACACATTTAACTATTTCACACATTTAACTCTCTTCTTCGCCCTATTGTTCCTCCTCCACCTACTAACTTGACTGCCTCAGACTTAGCAACTCACTTCACTGACAAGATCTCTACAATCAGGGAAGATATCTCATCTTTCTTCTTCCCATTACAATACTTCCCCTAACTCCCTCTTCTGTTCTATGTTCATTCACACCCGCTCAGGGCCGGACTGGGAATTAAAAGCAGCCCTGGAAACAGATAACTTAAAATTAAAAAGTACTTCAACGTAAAAAGTGCACTCATAGGCTTCAAAATAAACAAAAGTGCAGATTTATTTTAAGCAGACGTGCCTTTGCATGTAATCAATGTTTCAGTCCAGCTACCTTGACATATTAAGGAAAGCTTGTTAATGGGACTGAAATGGTGAATGTATGTAGGGCACAACTGTAAAAAAATTTTATTTTGAAGTCCTGTGGGTGTGCTCTTCACTTTAAATATGTTATTGTGCTTGAGTATGCACCTAGCAACAAGATTGGGCCAATATCTGCTCATTACATATGGTACATATTAATGAGATTTCTCTGTGTATTATGCATATATAAATGTACATTAATATGTGTAAATATAATAGATATATATATATATATATATAGATATATATATATATATCTATATATATATATATATAACAAATATACACATTAATATACATGTCATATACCAGGGACGGATCCAGTCCCACAGGACTTCAAAAATTATTTTGAAGTCCTGTGGGTGTGCTCTTCACTTTAAATATGTTATTGTGCTTGAGTATGCACCTAGCAACAAGATTGGGCCAATATCTGCTCATTACATATGGTACATATTAATGAGATTTCTCTGTGTATTATGCATATATAAATGTACATTAATATGTGTAAATATAATATATATATATATATATATATACACACACATATATATATATATATATATATATAAAAAAAATACACATTAATA